ACAGAAGTTACAGAAGTTACAGAAGTTACAGAAGTTACAGAGGTCACAGAGGTCACAAAGGTTACAAAAGTTACAAAAGTTACAAAAGTTACAAAAGTTATAAAGGTTACAAAGGTCATAGAAGTTATAAAATTTATAAGAGTTATCAGGTTCAAGAATATCTATTAAAAGGAGTTTAAACCCGAATCTTTAACCTAGCTGTTGGAAGTGCACTTAGAAAAAAGGGAGGAGGAGAGGGAAGAAGGTCTCGAGCAAGAGAAAGAGGTTTACGTTTCTTACGTAAGCTCTTCTTAAACGCAGTACACTTCCGAAGACCTTACCGATAGCGAGCACACGCATCTTTAGAATTAGATATTTGTGCCTTACCGGCCGAAGAGTATGCTTAGCACTCTTGGCGAGCAACGGTGCACGCATCGCAAGGCGGGTCTACTAGCTTACTCTTATATATTTATATTAGCCCGAGGTTGCTAAAAGATAAAAGAAAGTAAGAGGTTAATGCTTACAATTCAGTCTTTATAATACGGCCGACGTGGCCGATAACAGCACGGCGAAGGAAAAGGAGCTTTGACAAGTCCGATTGCTTATACGACTACCATATGCTTGTAGCGGAAAGCGTATATAAGTCTTTGTTCTTCTTTTAAGTAGTTTAAGCTTAAAGGAAACGCGTAAACCCGGCAGTCGATTAAGCTTGTTCAAGTTGAGCCTTAGTAAAAGGGGTCTTTTCATTAACGGCCGGCGGGGACGCAAACATCTATTAATCTGATTAATAAGCATTAATGAAAGATGTGAAATATACTTACGCTTGTGCTTTATTATAAAAGTAAAATCGGTCCAAAGCTTATAAAGCGAAGGGTAGCAGGTAGCGTAGCAAGAAGGAGCACGGCGGCGGCGAAGAATATAAGAGCCGGGGCGAGGCTAAGAGCCGGGACGCTAATAAGAATCGATAGCGCGAGAAGGACGAAAAGAAAAAGAGAAAGAGAGCGAGATATCATTAGCTCAATCATATCGTCGTCGTCTTCGTCTTCGAATCTATATATATATATATTATTAGCGTAAGTAACTCGAATGTATCACTTGATCTTAAGATAACTTACGTTGCGGGCTTAAAATCCTTTATTACTTTATCTTCTATCACTTCATCTTCCTTTACCTCTTTCTTAACCTCTTTTACTGCTAAGTCTATAGCAGAAAGAAGGAGAGAAAGAGGAAGAGGCAAGGCAGCAGCGGGGACGGCGAGGACGGCGAGGACCGCGGGGACCGCGGGGACGGCGGGGACCGCGGGGACGGTATAAAAGGGGAAGGGGGAAAGAAAGCGAGAGATCATTAGCTCATTCTTATCATCGTCGTCTTAATTAAATCTATATATAATATTAGCGTAAGTAGCTAAAGTGTATCACTTATCACTTATACTGCGGGCTCAACCAAGGCAATAAGCAAAGCAACAAGCAAAGCAATAGGCAAGGCTTGTTGAGAGGGAGGGAGGGAGTGTAAAAGCAGCCACTGCTGCTTGCGAAGTAGTTGTACCTGCCGCTTATAAGCCGGATCCGGCCGACCTACCCGCCTTGTATAAAGTCCGTCTCGAAAGTTGCGCTAGCGGAGTGAGATCATATTGCTAATGTAGTTGTAGTTGTAGCTGAAGTTAAAATTAAGGTTGATGTTAATATTGATATTGAAGTTAAGGTTAAGGTTGAGGTTGAGGTTGAGAAGAATATTTAAGTTATAGTAAATATTGAAAAGTGATAAACGAATTCACTTTTTAAAAAGGTCCGTGCTTAGCTAAATTCTTACACTTGCCGTATTCGTCGGTATAGTAGTATATCTATACAATATTTTATATAATAGCTTGTAACTTTTGTAGCTCTTATAACTCTTGTAACTTTTGTAACTTTTATAACTTTTATAACTTTTGTAACTTTTGTAACACAAGTAAATTTTCGCTTTTGCTAAATTTATCGGCTTAGCATGCATAATCATACAAAATTATCAAGTTATAAAAGTTACAAAAGTTATAAAGGTTATAATTGATTCGGCGCAATTAATCGTATAATATAAATACATTATTTACTTTTAATTAATTGCTAATAGCTATACAACCTCTTTTGATAATAAACTATTCTTATACATCTTACAATTCGTTAAGCTTATACTCTTCTATAGCTATCATTCGGTGAGACTTAAGCTCGATCTGTTTATAAGCTTTTAAATTTTGCATGACTTTTTTTATACGCTTATTTGATATTTACAAGCGCTAAAAAGTGCGCTTGTTACGACAATTATAACAAGTATATAAGTTATCGAGCTCTTTTTACGGAAATACACTTAAATAGCTCTAGCAAGGTTCGTCCGCTAATTTAGCTATGTATTCCGACATCATTATATCTGCTAAATTACTAATTAAACCCTTTCGAGTTATATCTCGAATAAAGTATTCTTTAGCTAGCTTGTAGCGTCGTTAATAACAGCAATCTAAGCAAGTAGTAAATCGCAAACCAGTGTTTAAGATAAAAAAGTATAGCAATAAGCGGAAGCTGCTGCATTTAGTGCATTCGATTTTGATAAGTCTTTTAAGTAGCTAAGCAAGTGCGAGAAGCGCAAGACGCGGTAGAGATTGATAAATCGTATCTATGCTTAGCTTAGAAGTCGGAAAGAATAAAAGAAGAAGCAAATCTAGCGTTAATTTTAATGCTTTTGCTTTGGCCTTGATTTTATTAGATTGCTCGATCTGCTTAAATGCGCGGTGTACTTCGAGATCGTCGTATATTTTCTTGTCTTTATACGTCGTATATATAAACTTAGAAAGATCCGTAAGTATGATATCTTAGCCTTTCTTTTTACTTACTTCGGCTTGTTGTTTGCTTTGAGCATCATCTTGTGTCTTATCATTGCTCACTTCGCTTTGTTCTTTGTTTTAAGCATTATCTTGTGTCTGATCATTACCTTAAGCATTATTATTAGTTTGTTAGTTGCTTTGAGCATCGATGAATCCTTCGGGGTTGATCTTACTTATAATGCAGGTCATCTCGTCGTTATTATCGAAGAGATCGGGTGACTTATATCGCTAGCGTAGCAAGCTGGATGATAGTGCTGTAAAAGCGCGTAGTAGGGTTGCGTAATAGAAGTCGTTTAGTAAAAGAATTTTTAATGGTGGTATAATAGCCTTCTTTTCTTTTTCTTTAATCTCCTTTTCCTTAATCTCTTCCTCTTTAATCTCCCTTTCCTCAAGCTCCCCTTCCTTAAGCTCTCTTTTATCAAGCTCCCTTTCGTCAATCTTTTCTTTTTCGGTATAGTTGGTAGTACTTTGTGTCTCTTGCTTCGTATTTATAATAGCAATAAGAAAGGCGATGAATGATTTATTGCTATATGTTATTTAATTTCGGTATATCGTAAAAGCAGAGTGTTTAGATGTAAGGAAATTATTATATTAAGGCTAAGTGTACGTGCAAATAGGCCTTTGTTTGAATTAAGCGAGGTACAAAGGCTTTTTATTGGTTCTTGTAACTTCTATAACTCTAGTAACTTTTGTAACTTTTGTAACTTTTGTAACTTTTGTAACTTTTGTAACTTTTGTAACTTTTGTAACTTTTGTAACTTTTGTAACTCTTGTAGCTTATGTAATATATATATATTTACACGTTTTACAACCGCTGTGTAAGCTGACCTCGATACACATGATCTGTGTCCCGATTAATATTAATATTAATAGACTTCTTTTTGAACCGATAAAAATCAAACACATTCTTAAATATAACCTCCGCTAAAGTCTTTACTTTAGAAGCTGAAACATAGTATAGCTTATAAGTAAATTCAGTCTTAGCTTAGCTAATCACTGCTTTGATCAAGGAAATTCTTTGACTTTTGTATACCGTGATTGCGTAAGCTACGCGAAGAAGCAGTTGCCGACGATTGCAAAGCTTGTTATCGTAATAAAAGTCTCGATCTACGGTAAATACTAAGAACTATTTAATATTTTCGAAAGTAAGACTAGTATAATCCTCGATCTTTATTATAATGCTTTATAGCAGTTCTTCACGTAGTTTGGCCTCTGCCTCTTAAAAGATATCTTTAACTATTCTTATAGACCTATTGATTATTTTTATTTTTGTTTAAAGATTTTGATTTAATATTACTTTGGCTTTAATACATATATCAATACTTTGCTTTAAGCCTTCAGCTTCCTTTTAATCAACGTTGTAAGCTTTCGCGCTGCTCGTATTCTTTGACTTAAGTCTTAAAATAAGCGCGTCCAGCTTTTTTAGCTGCTCGTAGTTGTATTCTTTAACTTCCGCGTTCGTAAAGTAAATACGAAAAGCATTTTTGAAAGAATCCTTATTAGCCGGCCGGATATTCATTTTAGCTCGAGATATAAAGAGTTCTTAGCTATCTACCGAAAGGTTATCTTTTCGGAGTTTTAAAAAGGCTTTGCGGAAATTGATAGCTTTTAAAGACTCGCTTTCTTAACGCATAATAACTTTAAATCGAATAGTTTTATTAAATAATCGATAAAAAAACTAACTGATCTTTTGTTCTAGCGAAAGGTTATAAGTTATAAATAAAGACTTCTTTTTAATTAGCGGTAACTAGTAAAAATCACTATAAAAGTAAATACTTAGACTTCTAAATAGCTTTTGAAATTCAAAGAAAATCTGAGCATAGCGCTTTTGAATTCGAACGAAGTCTTTTAAATCAATTATTAACTTTTCATCAATGATTAAATACTTGCAATCTTTGAATTTCGCTTGGAAGGTCTAGAAGGTGGCAAGAGAATTGTCTATAGAATGGTGTTTAACTGGTAGCGCTAATAATGAATGTAATATAGCTCTTGCGATACTAAAAGCAGCAATACTTGTAAGCGCTGCTCGGATGACTGGATTGGGCTTGCTAGCTTCATCCGCTATATCTTAAAGCCGTACGCAAGTAGCTAAAATAGAATAGGTTTTGCCCGTGCCAGCCTTGCCGTCGAGATGAATTAGCAGCTGTAAAAGGGTCTGGTTTAATAATATTATAGTATAATAGTCTATTATAGAATGGTAAAACCTTTTTTGTTTATCGGAAAGCTTTTTAAGGTCATAACTTCGAGTAGCGTTAACCCGCATGTCAGATACTTCGGCAGTAGCTTTTTAATTTCGAATATAAGTAAATAAAATATTGTATTTGCTAATATATGAATCTTAATTATAAGCAAGATCTTTAAGCCGGTTCGATATATCGTCTTCGTTTATAAGCGTAATACGAAGGTTCCGAAAGTTGCGCAAATTCTATTCTTCTTTTGCGTTAATATTATTACGGTCTCGAGGCTTAAGGCTTTTTATATCGTATTTATCGTTTAAGCTAGCTTTATCTTCTTCGTCAGCTATAGAAAGAGGATCGTAGTAATCGAGCATATGCAAAGAATCGTTATAAAGATCTCGATAAAGGCGCTTGCAAGCGCTATAAGCTAAAGCGAATGTCGGATGCTCTTTTTTAGTAACATTAATAAGTAAGTCGTCTTTTTTTCGGTGAAGATAGTGCAGCATTAAGTAAGTGCGTGCGTTGTGTTTATAATTGTTATGGACTTTAATATTTAAGTATTAAAAAAAGTAATTGATGATTTAAAGCTTGCTTTTTCGTAAGAAATTCTTCTTTTTGCAAGTGTATATATCGTAGACTTTAAAGAAGTCTAAAAGAGTAACCTTTTCGATTCGCTCGAAGCGTTGTCGGTACCGCTAAAGGTTAAAGAGTTTGGGTTTTAATCTATACTTATTTAATTCTACTTAGTACTTTTTGTTTTTATTTAATCGGCAATCTAAATTAATAAAATTCCGAATGGATTTAGTTAAATTAATTTTAAAGAGCAAGTGACAAACTTCTTAAGCGCTATAATCCTTTTCTCTTAGCAGCTTATTAAGCATCTTAAAGACTAGCGAAAGAGCTAGAACCTTAGCATTGATGTGTTTTAGCATTATATTAATAATATTTTTATAAAAGTCGGATTCTTTTTCATGCTTAAAGCAATACTTAGAAGCGTACTTTAAGAGACCTTTAAGGCTAGATACAAGCTGTATATCCGTGTTAGCTAATTAGCTTAATACAAAAACAAATGAAAAAGGGTTTTGTAAAAGATGATTACGCTAAGCGGCAAACTAATACTTTCGAGGATTTATTTTCCGATTGTAATTAGCTGTCGGCTGTATAAGGCGCTTGTAATAGAATCTGTAAAAGAGGACTCTTATATCTTTGTTTTTGCGTAAACAGTATTTAGTTAAACAAACGCGGTGGATTTATATTCGATTAATTAACGCAATAAGTTGATCGATCGTATTTTTGATCATATTAAAAGGTAAAGAGGTCGGGTTTTGCAGATCTAGTAAACGAGTCGCATCAAGGTTATATGCAATGATATAATCTTTTTAAAAGCTAACGAAGTTTAAGATACGAAAGTAATCGTCTTTTTTAAAGTTTATATTAAGTTTAAGCTCGCTCGTATCGTTCGGTCTGCTTTTTAATTAAAATATACCGTGAATATAGCTTGAGCTACGGTCTTGCTACTTTTATCGTGCTTAAAAATCAATATACGGCAAATAATGACTTAAGATATCTTATAAGAAAGCTTGCTAACGGATGTAAATATAATAAGTAATAATAGCCGGGTTCTCTTAGACATTTTCTTAAATTATCTTGGCTCGCTTAGCTTAGTTAGCGGCTTTGTATTTATTATACCGAAGAAGATAGCGTTAAAAGTCTTTTTATTGCATGTCCGCAACACTTTATATAAGAAAAGCTGTTGTAGCGTTTGGCTAGGACTTGGTTAATGCTTTTAATTGATAGCTTTGCCTCTTTTAAAAAAGTCGAGTGCTATCGATAGCTTGCTTATAGCGTACGATTTGATTAAAGAAGGCTAGCTGCTCTTTTAATTGATTTCGCAAACTATTAATACTTAAGTTCTTAATATCTTTCCGAGACTTAATAAAATAAAAGGATACTTTAACGACTTTAAAGCGCATTAAAATATTGAAAAGGTAGAACTGAAAACGAGAGTAAGTAGCAAAACGTTTATCGCGGTACTTTATTAAGTGTTTAGCATAATCTTTTATATTAATATTTCGGAGTCTTTAAGTGTGAAAATCGCTTGCGCCGGTAAAGAATAGTATAAGAAAAGCCAAACTAAAGAGCTTTTGATTAAGTCTTAGCTTAAAGATTAGCGTAGACCGCTAGCTTAAAGTAAAAGCAAAAATATGCTGCTTCGATGCGAGTTTATTAACTTAAGCAAAGAGCTGATTGGATTCCGTAGTATTTAGATTCAAATCGAGAATCGTAGTCTTTAAAAGAAGACGCTCTTGATCATCAAGTAAATCATCGTTAGCATTTAAGTGATCTTTTATATCAAGTAAAGCATCTTTATCGCTTGCAAGAGCTTTATCTTCGCTCGAATCTTTTTTAAGATTACCGCGAGCTTCTCGGCGCAAGCGGCGGCGTTTCTATGCCGATGATTTTATAATTGTTAAAGCCGCTATCTTTAGTAAAAGCTGTTCAAGTGTTTCGTCTTTAATAGTTGTGACCCGCTCTTTCATATCTTTATCTACGGGCAAAGAATCTATTAAGTCTTAGTCTATATTGATATTAATATACTTAAGATTATTTGCTTTTAAAAAGGTAAGCTAAGTATAGATCGCAAAGCGCCGAACTCGACATTCTTTTTTGAATTGCTTGCTGATCCGAAGGTCTTTATTAATACCTTTCGGCTTAAGAATAATCACGTTGACTTCTTTAAAAAGCAAAAGAAGGTTTTCAAAGAACTTAGCGTTATTAAAAGCAAAAGTTATTACGTAGCTCGAGTACTTATATTAGTGGCCGCGGTAGCGCTAAAGCGATATATTAATATATAACGGTGAAATCAACGCTTTTTTTAATGCCGAAAGCTTCGGCAAGTAATCCGGCACTTTACTTAAGTCTATGTTATTACTAGCTATTATAAGATAAAGCTGTTTAAAAAGATCCGGTTCTTTAATAGATTTATCACAACGGTCACATTCGTAACAAATGAGATCGCCGCGGACTACTTTTAATCTCATTTCGAACTATCTTTTATTGCAACGAAAGCAAAGGTTTATTTAAATAGCTTTTATAATCGAGTGAAAATCTTAGATCATCTTTTATTCTTTTCTATTGACCGCCGGCTTGTACTCGGCTAGAGTAGCATACGGTTGTAATAAGTCAAAGAGAAGGATGGACTTTTAGAACTAGAAAGTGCGGCGGCGTTTTTGTTCGGCTTAAGCAGCTTCTTCAGTAGCCTTTCGTTCATCTTTTCGCTATATGCGGTTCTTTCGTTCGATATTAGCTTGAATCCTTCGAGCCTTACGTGTCTTACGACTTTGCTTTAAAGCGTTTAAGCGATAGCTAATAACTTTTAAGTCGGATCCGGAATCAGAAGAGAACATTTAGCGGTTCGAAAAAGAGTTTCGTGAAACGCTAGACGATTGTGAAAGAGATAAGCTAGAAATTTGTTTTTTAAGACGGCTACGACGCAATTGCAATTCCGATAGAATACGAATAGCAGGTTTTCTTAAACGACCTTTTCGCCTTTTTATTAAAAGGGATAAAAACGAGAGTAAGAGTTTATCATCTTTAAAGTTTTCTCTTTGGTCATTGTCTCGCTGTAGTTGATAAGACGGTAGCAAAGTATTAAAAACCTTTTTAAAAGAAGACGTATTATCCGTATTAAGTATATTAAATAGTAGTAAAATGTATAGGATTAAAACGGTAGGCTTAGATCGTAGATTAAAGGAACTTAAGTAGTATTAATAACTTTAATAACTTTAGTAACTCTAGTAACTCTAGTAACTTTAGTAACTCTAGTAACTTTAATAACTTGGGTAATATACTTAGACCGCTTAAGCTTCTTTAGAAAGCCACAGACTCTGCTGCAAATTTAATACGCCGATTCGGAAGAAGTGACCTTTAGCAAATTAATAACTTTAATAACTTTAATAACTTTAATAACTTGGTTAAGATGACTTACTTATGCTATTACTTGTGCTACTTTAAGCAAGCTTACGTGTAGAACCGTATGTATCTCCGCTAAAACTTGAATCATGGACGCGCTAGGCCGTAGAATCAAAACCTTAGTAACATTAGTAACTTTAGTAACTCTAGTAATTTAGCTGAGATGACTTACTTATGCTACCACTTGTGCTACTTTAAGCAAGCTTACGTATAAAACCGTATGTATCCTCGCTAAAACTTGAATCATAAACGCGCTAAGCCGTAGAATTAAAACCTTAATAACATTAGTAACTTTAGTAACTCTAGTAACTTAGCTAAGATGACTTACTTATGCTACCGCTTGTGCTACTTTAAGCAAGCTTACGTATAGAACCGTATGTATCTTCGCTAAAACCACTTATATTACTACTTCGGACAAGCTTATGCATCGAACTACCGTATGTACTTTTATATAAACTTGAATCTTGGGTACGCTGCGCCGTAGAATCGAAACTTTAATAATATTAGTAATTCTAGTAACTTTAATAACTTTAATAACTCTAATAACTTGGCTGAGATGACTTACTTATGCTACTACTTGTGCTACTTCGAGCAGGCCTACGCGTATGCCGTAATAAAGAAAGCGAAGGCGAGCTAAGCTAAGCAAGATTGCGTAAGAAAGATGGTTTGTTTAAGGTACGCCGTAATAAAAGAGAAGATCTATAAGAGTATTTGCGAAAAGTACGCTGCGTAAGGTAAGAGTGACCAAGCTTCAATAAAGAATATCGTAGTGAGCGTAGTTTTCGTAGAGAGGCTCGTAAAAGAGAAGCTGCAATTAGAGCGCGCCGAGGTCGACTTCGAGGTTTCTTTAATAAGGATGGGTTTAGATCGAGTTTTAATTGACGCTTTAATTTATATAAGGTTTTGTAAGCGTTATTCTTGCGCTTGCAATCATTACAAGTACGGAATACTTTGCCTTAACCGTTATCTTAAAATAAAGCAATAAATTGTTCCTTTCTTTTAAATGAGCACTCTTTAAAGTAACAAACTTGAGTTTCTATGTCGTAGAGAGTAAAGCGTTGATTAAGTGGTCGGTATAGTTAATAAACGCGTAATTGTTGATTGATTAATTAATATACGAAGTAAGAGACGCGTTTGCATTAATATTTCGGCGCCGGAGTTACTTTAATCCCTTTTCTTTCTTTAATGCGGGCCGACCCGTTCCGAAAAAAGTTCAATAGATTAACATAGAATAAAAGTCTTAGCACGCTCACAAATCTTGCTAGATCCGTATAGAATAGTCTTACGTGATTAGATAACTAACCACTACTACAACCCTTGGATTACTTATCACTACCACAACCTTTGGATTACTCATCACCACTACAACCCTTGGATTACTCATCACTACCACAACCCTTGGATTACTCATCACTACCACAATTACTGGAATTTATCTTAGGTCACCGTTGGTGACAATTAACGTAATATCACACGCATACATACACACACACACACACACACACACAGATGCAGAATAGGCAGACATTATTCCGGCCAGTCATTCATCCATCTATCCCATCCATCCCATCAAGAGAGAAGTCCGCCCAACCATACTTTTTCTTAATTTCCCCTACCCCGGATGACAGAACTAGAACTAGAACCAGACCCTGAGATCTTGACATGACCTGATCGATCTGCATATAAAATTTACACGAAGAAGCGAACGAATGAGTGAGTGAGTGGGTGGGTGGGTGGGTGGGTGACCAAGATACATACATACCGCATCTCTCTCAGCCCACCACCAACCAGCACCTTCCCTAAGAAACAAACAAACAGATTTTCCCCCTTTCCGCACTTTTCCAAGTTCCAGTTCCCGTTCCAGCTCCAGTTTCATCATACACGCCATGCCACGCCAGAAGTCAATCTAGAACTGGAACTGCGTCCCGTCCGGGACACCCAGGAAGCTCGTGTCCATGAACCCCCCACCCTGTCCGAAACCACCGCCCATCCCGTCCTCGCCGGGTCCCAAGGCTCCGCCGCCGCCGCTGCCGCCGCCTCCGCCGCCTTCTTCGCCGCCGCTGGTGCTCCCGCCACCCCCGGTACCGTTCTGCAGCGCGAAGTTGAACGTCGAGTTCAGGTCTAGCCAGCTGAACGTCGCCCCGCTGCCGCTGCTGTTGTCCATGCCGCCCATGGTGGTCGTATCCGAGTACTGGCCCGGTTCCAGGTACTGCTGCTGCTGCTGCTGCTGCTGGTCGACTTCGTTCTGGGTCGCGGGGTTGTTGTTGAGGTGGTGGTGGTAGGAGGCGCTGTGGAGGCTTGGGTCGAAGTTGTCCGTCTCGAATTTCTGGGCCGCCGGCAGGAGGCTGCTGTGCGCAAGCCTGTTATCGAGGCTTTGTTTGTGCAGTGCGCCCGGGCCGCTCCTCTTGGGAGATTTGCGCCACAGCAGTTCAAGGAGACGCGCGTAGCGCGTGCCCATCTGGTTCGCCCCCACAGAGGAGGCTTGTAGGCGAGTGATTGTGGCTTTGATAGTCATGCGGACGGCTTCGCGCTCGTCCTCTTTCATAGAAGTTGTTGATCGGGCCTTCCGGAGCGCTGTTAGCCGGGGCTACCAAGGTTTATAGAAAGGAGGGGAGGGAATGGGAGGGAACCGGAGGGAAGAGAAGAGGATAGTTTATACCTTGTAGAGAAAAACCGCGCTGTAGATGATGAACAGGTAATAAGATGAAGGCATATGGCGGAGCGTTTGCGGATCAACGTCGTTATTGAATCGGCTGAGGAGGGAGGTGGCAGCATCGATGGCTTCGTAAATAAAGCGGGCATCTGGAGCTGTGGCGTCGATGAGCGGCACTGCTCGGTGAGGGTTGTGCTATTCAGCATGTCAGTAATCTTGAGTGTGGAACGTCCAGGAAGCAAGGGAACGTGTTTTTCTTTGGGTCGCTACAAAACTCTTGAAAGTCATGAGTGCGGTAGACTGACCTGGCTGTCTCGTTGGTCGGTCAGGGCGCGAGAAATTGTTGCTTGGTAAGCAAAGGCGTTGACGTAGAGGCGTAAGTAATCAAAATTCAGTTGCAAGCTCGCCTTGATATACACAGGGCCTCATGGCAGTCAGTATGAGAGGTAATTTGCAATCATGGAAGCTTACAATGGATATTTCCCCACGTATCGTCCCATTTTCGGATGCTGAAGCGAAAGTCGTCCAAGTACTTGGCGTACCGGCCTTCCAACATCTCTTTCCAAGCATGGCCTTTTGAAGAGTACAGAATGTCATGCACGTTAGAAAAGATCTGTGTCAACTCCAGGTTCGCCTGGAAAAGCGAGCCGTAGTCCAAGTAGTGTTCGGAAGTTGGTCGTAGAGTTGGGAAGTCGCTAGCTCTCAGCCCGGACAAAGGACCGGGCCCACGAGCCCAGAAGCCCTTTCCAACACGAACCGAGACTTGACGGTCGCAAATATAGCAGGCAGCCCAGACCAGTCGTTTCCGATGGAATATGACGGGATCTTCCTGATTGTCGCTATTGAATGATGTCCGGTCGATTTCGAGGAAATAGCCCAGTCGGAGGGCTGTCCCAATGTACATCCAGGCGACCCGATCTTCTTCGCCGCGTCCGACAGTTGCTGCGACTTGAGGGCGGTGCGACACCCATTGAGAAAGCAGAAGAAGGGATTCGACCGCTTCGACGTCAGCATCAGCCCCAGCGAGGATGTTCGAGATTAGTAGCTGCATGTGATCGTAACAGACTTGATGAATTCGTTCGTCATCCTTTGATGCTACAGTCAAGATGGCCGAGAACAAATGGGGCTCGTAACGTGACAGCCACTGGAACCTGGATCTATCGAAGGTCTCTGTTGGAATTATTGGGAAGAATGGGTGAAAGAACTGCTCGTAACTTCGAAAAAAATTAGCTTGTCAGGAAGAAAACAAGGATGGCTGCGTGCGTGCGTACCTTTGGAACAGCTGGTATACCATCTCAGGACTCAACAAACCTTCTTGAATCGGCCGGTAATGCCATGTATCGATCATGGGCTGGGGTGGGTCGGGCCGGGGAACTGGCTGTCTCCTCTTGGCCTGTCCTGAAGGGTCATCACTTCTCGGGGAGTTCGAATCCTCAGCTCTGTCGGCGACTTGCGCGAGAATCTCGAGAGCATCGGATGGATTTTGGAGATCTGCTGAGGCGATGCCCTCGTGAGCTTTGCCAACCAGGCTGGTTGTTGACTCAAGCCGAGAACGATATGGTGGTTGAATTGTAGACGGACTCGGAATCTATCATTCATGAGCTTTGGGTCTGGGGAGAGGGGGTAAATCTCGAGTCATGATATAAAATACCACGTACCGGTGGATATTGAGAATGACTCGCAGTACTGGTCTCGCCACCATCAGCCGGCGGTGGCTGCCACACCGGACGGTTGTACTGTATAGGATTGGCTCCTGGGTGCGGCTGAAGCGGACCGGATCCGGATCCGGGACCGTATTGAACGGGCTCTGTGATCGGAGACTGGAAAGATGCACCCGCACCCGGGGGAGCAAAGGAGGAGGAGGAGGAGGAGAGAGGCTCCTCTCCTTCTACCGACCCATCCTCGGTCTTCGCTTTCTTCCTGACTCGGCGTCCTCCTCGGTGACTCTCGCCTAGCACACACTCTCTGTTTTCCCTTTGACATCGCCGGCAGGGCTGAGAAAGAAGAACATGTTAGCATGGCTTTCACGAAGCGTCAGATGTACGTCGATCACGTGACGGTATTGGTAGGATATCTCTCTCATATGACCTGGTCGTCTCCTCCTGTCCCTGTGGAATGCGGACGGGCTGAATTCAAACTTACCGGTCTCCCTTGGTTTGGATCCAAATCGCATTTGCTCTTCCGGTTCCTGCAGTGCAAACAGGCGCGGTACGCGCGCATCGCGTCAAGCGCTTTACTGGCCTGGCCTCCATGCCCAGCACCGCCAGCACCTCCTCCACTGCCACCGGAAAATTGCACCTGCACGAGCGGACTGCTGTTCATAAGTGATGACAAATTATTCGGCGCGCTTGTTGCCGGCGGCAACGGATTTGACATGGCTGATGTCGCGACGGCAAATGACGGCAAGATACGAGCGGGCCTGCTGCACACGAGAGGCAATCAAGCTTCCGAGCCAGGTTTGATTTGGTTTTGGGATCCCGAGGACCGAGGAGGAGAGTTCAGTAATTGTTTGTGCCGTTCACACAGATGATGCCGATATGGCTCTGGCTCTGGATAGTGCATGCAGCCTCGTGATGGGCGATGTGGTGATGAACGCGATCTTTGGATAGGATCTGTGGGGATTTGTTGATGATCGGCTTTTGTTAGCAAAACGCCGGTCTGGCGGGACACTATTGCCGGCTGCCGAACCGAAACCTATCACAACCCAAATCCGGGGACGAAAACTTACTACATTAATTGATTACGAGGGCTATGGTAATTTTCCGAATTTTGGAATTTTTTTTTTCATGGAAGGCTTTAAAAAAAAAACAATCGCTTGCTTGGCCGATCGATTGAATGCCAGCGCTTATTAAATGATAATATGGAAACGAGCTGAATAATAGGCAAGTCTGAATATCAAGTGCGGCAGCCAATATTATTGACGAGGCCAAGGCTAGATCTGGACTGGCAAGAATGCTTATCGTAGAATCATATTCTTCAATTAAGTCAGGCTCTTCGCTAGCTACTTCTTGGATGCATTCTAATACAGCCTTTAAGTTAGTTAATCTTTTAACTTTGCCATCTCGTCTGTGATATTTCTAACGTAGTAGCTGTTATTCGATCGTCTCTCCACGATAAAGCCCAAGAAGCAGTATCCCGAGACTGATAAGTGCTCATTTGAAATTTTCGTAGTCTGTATAATTAAATTCAATTCAATTCAATAATTTTGTTTTAGCTCGTTCTTTTCTATTATGCGATCATCGAGGTATTTAATAACTTTGCTGCTGTCTTTTTGAAGTCTTACGAAACGCATGGCCGATCTGTAAAAACACTAAGATTATTGCGAAGAAAGATGGTATTTTTTACCAGGGCAAAGGACCAAGTTCTTTGTAGTGTCACCAACGAGCTAATTACTCGATTTATAAGAATCTTAATATATTTAAATCAAAATTATAAAATGAATAATAATAAAAATGAAATAAATATAAAAGTATTATTATACGAGAAATGATTTAATATTTTATTATAAAAAGAGACCTTTAAAAACC